TAAGTGAATAATAAATACAAAAAATGCAATACTTTTATTCTGTATATGAAATATTGCTAAACTATTTTTATTTGTACATTTATTCGTACGCAAATTTATTTTATTTATACATTATTCCTTTTATTTATAAATTTTAATTTGTGAACATCGTTAATATTAATGCATCCAACGAATTTCGAGAATAAACTGCATCGTGAAACAACATGAGCATTCTTGTTTCAATATTTGTAATATAATTGTACCGATAATCTTTATGCATTGTTACTATTTATTACGTTTTCAGAGGTTTTACGTTTATGGTGCCATCTCTAGTTATGCATATGCTTTCAGTACCCAGTTGATATTTTAGTTTTTTGAAAAATTTATATACAATATAAAAATTCAGATAATAAAATTTTAAAAAATAAACATACCAGAGACGAATCTGCAAAATTTATTATTTAAAATAATCTTTATATCTTTATCGAAGAATATTTTCCCGCATGTCTCTCATAAAACAAAATTTAACGTCCTTGTCTAGCAAAAAATTGTTAAATTTTTAATACTGACACATAATCGAAGTTTTTAAACTATAATTTTACAGTTACATTTTACAGTTATGACTAAATTAGTTAATTAAGTAGCTATGAATTTTGTTTTCCACTTTAATAAAAGTATGAAAATAGATGCCAATTTAACTATATATTTAAGAAAATAAAATCGGAAAGTTCATCAACAACTTCAATACACTAAAAACATCGATCCAATTTTAGATTCTACTTTTTAGGTGTATGTCTTCTCTACAGACTTCGGGTGTTTGTTTGGGAAGAATTTCATTTGAAAAATGAATGGAAGAGAAGGGAAACGAAGAGACAATTGATTTTTACGCGCCATGCATTTATTGATATAATAAATGCCGATAATAAAGATTATTTTAATCTTCTTCTTCTTCTGGTGCGGCACCACCGCTTCCCTTCCTCAAATTCTTCCTCTTGACACGTCCGGGTCTGCCACCGCCGAAGGGTGATTTCAGCGAGAAGTCAATGTGCTTCTGAGAGTCCAGTCGCACGATGAACGACGGGATGTTCACCACCTGCTTGCGCACTCTGTAACGAGAAATCGTTAATAATCACTCGATTTCCTCAGACTCGTGTCATAGAAACTAATCGCAAATTTTTTCGTTACAAAAAGCAAAGACTCTACCGAAACTTATTCCTCTCTCTTGACAAAAGTAGAATTTCGACAGCTCAACAGGCGTTAAGTGCCGATGAACGACACTTAAGTGGCCTATTCGAATTAAATTTTCATTAAGTTAATTGAATTCTTGACTCATTGTGTGATCAACCAAGTCCAGTCGATCAGGTGTCCTGATACCTGAGCAACAGAATTCATTCGTCATCTTGCCTTGCGACATTGCATCGAATATTAATGAATTTCAATACGAAATTGCTGTTAGATTTATTGAAGTGCAGCGCTTGATTTTCCGCATTATAAAATATTCGAATAATCAAGTCTCTTATATTAAAACACAATTTCTTTTTTTTTTTCACTCTTTTGGAAAAAGATTATAAAAGTAACATTACAAAATAATTAGATTTCAATATTTCTACGAATATTTTAAGAGCTCAATAATTTTGATTCAAATTACAGAAATTTAAAATATAAATAAGTAAATAAAATCAATCATATAATGAACATTTAAATTTGTAGCCTGATATGAAGCCGAAAAAGGAACTTATGTGACCTTAACCGGTGATTAATTCAGGCTTTTGATCTTGCCTCAAAGATTAGAAGTGAGCCGTGAGAATAATTCGGTCACTTCTTGCCCATTTTTTAAGGCATTTTTTCAAATAGTTTTCAAATTTAAATTTTGTCCCTTTCCTTTTCCTGTAATAAAAACATATTATCATTTACCGAATATGCCGTTGGCGAATAAGCACGCGGGCATGATGGATGGATTTAGCAAGGCCCAGCTTGAATACTTGGGTCTGTAGACGTCGCTCCAAGAAATCCTCGATCTTTAGACCCAATACATAATCGAGCTTCATGTGAGCTTCGTTCAACACGCCAATTCTTACCAAACGACGCAGCAGGGCATTTCCTATAAGTACAAAAAAAATTCTTTTGTATTATGCATAGAAAGATTTGGAAAAATTTCTTTAAAATTTTGTAATTCTTCAGAGAAAAATACTTTTTTTCTTCAAACAAAAGGTATCACCCTTTCAGACAAGAGGTGTCATAGCTCTATGGTATAATCATCATATTATTTTTTTTTTTAATTAATCCTCCATCAGTAATATTGAACTTAAAGGCAAACAGTTGATTTCTTGTTGTGAATTTTGATAAATTTAAATCTATAAAAAATAAATAAAGCCAACTTGTACAATAGTAAAAATAATTATTGTTAAAGCTTTCAGTATATACAAATTTTTTCAGATTGTAAGGTCTATACTATTTAGAGAGACTTATACAGTCTAAAACAATATAAAAATCTATACTGAAGTTTGAAGATCCAGGCAAAAAATAAAAATTTTACTCCGATGGAAGATTAAATATATAATTATTTAAAATGCAATAGTTTAATGTGGAAGTCAATTGTGTATCTTAAAACAAGATAAAAATTACCAAAGTGAACAAATTCTATATGTTGACTAATGAAATTATAGATCTATTTTTTGTAACCGATTTAATATATACTCTTGGAACTTCAAATGAAATAGATATTTGATATTTAACGAAAGAGGAAGTTTTAGTGCAGTCTAGTACAGAAATAAAAAAATAGATCTTGTAAACATACTAATAAATTTGCTCACTTTTGTCATTTTTATCCCGTCTTATCAAGATACACACACAACTTCCTGATTAAACTATCGATAAATGTATATCTACAAATATACATATATGATTTATGTCGAACCTTCGAAGAGACGCTTTGGGTCCTTCTCTTCCAACGTGAGCAACTCACGAGCAGCTTTACGAATCTTGGCCAGGGTATACTTTACCCTCCACACCTCACGTTTGTTACGGAGACCATATTCTCCGATAATACGTAATTCCTGATCAAGACGAGCTTTCTCGTACGGCCTTCTAGGCGTGACGTAGGTCTTCGAGAAGACCGACGGAATTCTTCCGTTAACCATGCCGGAAGATCGTCACCTAAGCGAAATTATTATTATTATTATATATAAAATACGGAGATATCTACAAAGAGAATGAGAAACGGATGACTTTTGAATTCGATAATTCCGCAAATATTATAAAAGTAACCGCCACGTGTTAACAAAGAGCGAAAAAAAAGAACACGTGGTCGCGAAAATGTTTCGAAACCAAGCATTGAAAAAAATAAAAACCAACTTCGCTGCGATTATCACGATCGAATATATTAGTCGAGACGCAAATAATGCAATCATTTATGGAAATTATTACTTACTTGTAACAGCGCGAAGAAAGACAACCTTTCACCGAGACGAACCGAATGAAAATGGCCGAACAGTCGAACGCGCCCAAAAACCGAATATCATCGATGTTGGTTGAAGAAGGAAGAGAAGGGAGACAGTGTTGCCAATACATATCGAGTCTATCGACCTAGGGACTCACACAGCATGAAATATCTATATGATTGGATACGTTGGATGCGTTCAGAACGACACCGCTCACTGAGCACTCAATGAGCTCTTTTATCTGATTGGTCTATATTTTAGGATCTAATGGAATATGCCAATCAAATGAAAGAGCTCACTGAGCGCTCAGTGAGTGGATGTTGTTCAATGCACCTAATAGCAAGCGCTTATTCAACTATTGAGCTCTTGCGTCTGATTAGCATTTTCCGTTAGATCTAAAAATATAGACCAAACAGATGCAAAAGCTCACTGAGCGGTCATACTAAATGCACTTATTATGTGCACCCAGAAGCACGATTGCTCGCTAAGCCCTCAGTGAGCTCTTGCATCCGATTGGCATATTCCATTAGATGTAAAAATGTAGACCAAACAAATAAAAAAGCTCATTGAGCGCTCAGTAAGTGGTTGTCGTTCTGAATGCACCCAATGGGTGCTCACTAAGCGTTTAATGAGCTTCTTCATCTAATTAGCATATTCCATTAGATCCTAAAATATGGACCAATTATATGAAAGAGTTCACTGAGCGCTCAATGGATGCAGCCAGAAGCAGGACTGCTCACTGAGCGCTCAGTGAGCTCTTGGATCTGATTGGCATATTCCGTTAGATCTAAAAATATAGATCAAACAGACATACATATTTATATGGATACATTAGTTTTGATAATTTACATATGTTTGTTGAACTTTTCTAAGAGATATGACACTTTTTTGACTGTTCAATCGTATACGTGAATAATCGAGTTCTACATCGATACTCAACCGAACTGCGTATATCTTTAATTTATGAATTTTTTGGGATAATTATTTTGTAATACTGTTAATTCCATTATGTTTTTAATGTCTGAAGAGGGCTCAATCCAGTAGCCGAAACTTGTAATGTTTTAATTTATTTTCATCTTTATTGTTCATTCTTATTATATATCTTTTCTTCTTTTTTATCTTCTGTATTTTAATTTATTCTTTTAATTCTTTTAATGACTTTTTAGGGAAATGCGCTGACTCTTACTTTGCCCTTTATTTATTGTTATTTAATTTGAAATATTGCATTGAAATATTTTACAAAAATATTGTGCAAATATGACAAGAAAAAGAATTAATATTTCAAAAACTTTTTCTTGGACATATTTATTTTAGAAAAAAAACGCTAGAAAAAACATAAGGAATTGATCTAACAAAAACTAAAGAATTATACTTAAAAAAAATTTCAATTAATTGTTTAATTGACACAAACCGATTCGCCATAAAATTCGATCATTAATTAATAAAATTAAAAAATTTCAAACTTGGCTATACTAATTTTTATTTTTCCCTCTATTTTTTTCTCGCAACTTGAATATATCCGATATTCTCATTGCGCTCTGCGATACCATGTGATATGCGGCAACTTCATGTTGCTCCACTCGCAATTCATGATTCGTGATTCACGAGAGTCGAGTGTGATGGCTAGTCACTAGCAGTCGTTAGCTGTTTTGTTATTATCGTTTATCGTGGTAACGATGCAGAATTGTGTGCGTACGTGATTGATCGCTCCGACCGTGACGACGACGACGACGACGAGAACAAAGGTGCCGCGAAGGCACGGGCGAAACAGCTGATTGGCGGAGATCCGCGTCGTCCGAGTCACGGCCGTCTCTAGTCGCAGGAAGCGGACCGACGGTCATGGCGGGTTTCGTGCTCCGGGTGAAGACCAAATCGGGTCAAAAGGTCGTATACGGTCTCACGGCCCACGATAACGTTTCTCAGCTGAAGGCGAAGCTCATCGAGCTTACCGGCGTTCCAGCAGCTGCCCTCCAGGTCCTCGGCGGCTTCCCACCGAAGCCCATCGACCTGGACTCACCTGACGCCACGATCGAAGGCGTCGGGATTATCTCCGGAGATACCCTTATCGTCGAGGAGAAACAGGTTTGTCTTACCAGCTCCTGGGAGCTGGGAGTCGATTGTGTATGTTCTTGGAGCAAAGTGAAAATTACAAAAGTGAATATATAGAATATTTATAATTTTATTAGCCAACACTTAGTAAATTTGTTCACTTTTGTGATTTTTATCTCGTTTCCAAATACACAATCGGCCTCCTGAGAGCACAGAAAATGGTATTAAAAAGCATGTGGCTTTGTGATTCTTCTTTTTATGACACTATGAGTTTCTCGCAAATTTTTCCATTTAACGATTCACTCTTTGAATTTGAAGTGTTTTCCATGGTAAACTTTAATTGCTTTCTTTTCAGGTTTAGGTTTCAAGGTAACATTATTGCTAATATTTCATCTATTGTTTTTGCAATCTCTTATGTTGTACCTTATTCTTCTACTGTATTCGCAGTGATTATTATTATTATTATTATGTAACAGAGTGTCTTGAAACCATAATATAAATCATACAACATCATGAACCTTTTTAAATTCTTTTCAAAACATGAGATAGAGATACAGAACGCAATGCCGAAATTAAAATTTGCACATGAGAGTCATAAATTGGAACATTATCTATTTTATTTGTGCCAATCTCTAGTTAAGAGCTCAAACATGTATCAAATAATTTAATTTTTGTGACATTAAAATTATGGTTTGTTTATTTATTTTGCTCAAAGCCAATTCAATGTTGAAAGCTAAGAGAAGAATCTCTATGTGAATGTCACATGCAGATCGTGTTCAATAGACATGAGCAAAGACTGGATAATCTTGGGCGGTCCCATATCGTCGACCAGGAGAACTTTGCCAATATTCCAGGCGTTCTGATGAGGAAAGTAGTACCTGCAGACAATTCCTGTCTCTTTACTAGCGTGGGTTATGTTTTGAATGGTGAGCAACACTTGTAAATAAAGTTAGAACACTTTGCAATTTACTAGAGATAATATATATCCCCATACATAGTACATGTTTAAATAATTTTCTTAAATTTTAAAATACAGAAAAGTATTAAGAAAATATAATTTGCATAATTGTAACGCAAAGTGCCAACGTTTCTTACTAAAAGGATTAAGCAAGTAAATTATTATGAAAATAAAGACACTGATAAAAACTATTTCATTAATATAAAGAACATAATTATTGATAAGCCAAACAATTTCAAAAATCCTGTCTTTTACGTAAGAAATATAATATTAATTTTTAAAATACACAGGAACGGAGTTATGATCGCTTGGTACTTATAGTTTTAAACTTATAAAATGAATATCACGCTTCTAAGAATCATATGAATTAAAGACACCTAAGAATATTAAGGTTAAATTAAAATTTCATATACTTCAAAATAATAAGAGCGAAAAAAAAACAAATGTTAAACTCAAAGTTGTAATAATTTATGTTTCTTCAGGAAAAGTCGACACTACTTGCGCCAGTTTTATGAGGGAGATTATAGCAAACGCAGTAGCGGCAGACCCAAATGAATACTCCGAGGCATTTCTGGGCAGACCGAATGCTGAATATTGCGAATGGATTCTCAAGTCTGATGCCTGGGGTGGCGCCATAGAACTGTCGATCCTATCTAAATTTTATGGTTTAGAGATAGCGGTGATCGACAGCATTAACGCGATCATCAATAGGTTTGGCGAAGATCAACATTATGCTCAACGAGTCTTTCTCATATTTGATGGGATCCACTATGATCCTCTCTACCTGGAACCGCTCAATGTAAATTTCTTCTACCAATATTTAAAAATTTTCTCAATTTCTAATATCATATCAAAATGAAGAAAAGTCAAATAGTTTTTTTTTTTTAATATTTATTTAGAAAGAGATCTTTTAACATAGAATTCTATCTTTTTTGCAAACTTTACAGTTTCGATTTTAACGTATTTTCTTTATCAGGGTGGCAGTATTCAAACAATCTTTTCCACCGAGGATGACAGGATGCTGCTGGAGGCCGCCCAGCTCGCAAAAGAGGCGAGATCGAGTCGCCAGTTCACGGATGTTCAAAAATTCACACTAATGTGCATTGACTGCAAAATCATGTTAAATGGACAAGCAGCGGCTCAGCAACACGCCAAGGACACCGGTCACAAGAATTTCGGCGAAGTAGCAGCGTAACCTTGTACAGCAGCAGTTCTTATGATTTAATTGATCTAACTCTTCGGTGACTATCCTTGACTCTAAACAGTATAGGGTGATAATTTACAGTTTTCTTCGATTGAAACCGTTCGGAAATTTCGGTTTCTATCTATTTAGTCTTGTGGTGCGCAATTGTAATATTAATCCAAGCACTTATTATTGCAAATTCTTTGTACTAAGGAATTCTAACAACAGGGAAATTCTGTGCTTGAGGAATATGTGTGTGATATTTTTATAAATTATATTCGCAAATTATATTATTGTATAATTATATATTCTAGGTTTATTAGTAATTATTATATTTTAACTAAGGAATTATTTTTTATTGATATTTCGAATCGTATTTATATTGTTATATTTATGCTAGAACAAAATTGTTACATTTGTGTTGGCACAAAATTGTACTCTTGTTGTTTTTTTAGAATATTTTATACTGTTTAGGACTGAAGGATTGCCATTTTGCAGTGAGAGAGAGAGAAAGAGAGAAAGAGAGAGAGAGAAAACTAATATCTTTTTCTACTCGAGCGAGGCGCTTGCAAATAGTAACATTATCATTATCTGCGAATTCGTTTGCAATAAGGATTGTTAATGCGCATAATACACAAGTTACTGATTTTGATTAAACATTGTTTATTATCGATATCTGCAATCCCAAATCGACGAAATACGAGCACGTAAAAAACATGCATTTGACCTGAATCTTTACATTTGATTGAAAATCTGTTCAAATTTTCTTTAACATGTAAGAATGAGTTTTTAGAAAACTGTTTTTTTTTCCAGAAAACATGTTAAATAATTTATATACGAAACGCCTACCGGTCTGAGTGTTAAGATGTGCTACAATATATATTCATTTTTTTAAATGAATTAATTTTCAGAAATAATAATTGCGTGCCGATAAGATTATCGGACATTTACACAATCGATCTGAAACAAATAATCCCCCCAAAAATTTCCCAAACCTTAAAGAACTGTAATAATTATTATTGCGAAAAATATTGCCTCGACCGAGAATCCTAAGCCTTTAGACTATCGAGACAAATTTCCTCGCACGGAATGCAAGAGTATACACGAATTGTGTAATATTTTATATATTGCAGAAAAATTAAAATTTTTTCTATGCAGTTATCATCTCTGTTGATAATAAAACTTTGATGATAACACTGAAATAACAATTTTAAAGAAAAATCGAGTATTATTAAGTTCTAAATGCATAAATACGTCTATTAAATTAATAAATCATAAAATTAGTACAATATTATCAGTTTTTAACTCTTAATTACTTCAATAGTCACAAGGCCGCGACTCTCGTAAGGATATCGGTCTTTAATGATGCAGCCACAATAGAAGGAATAAGGAATAAGGCTTTCAACCTATCAGATATTGGATACACTGGAATACACGGTTTCTGATAGATCGGAATCCTTATTCCTTATTCCTAATTCCTTCTATTGTGGTTGCACCTTAATAGTACTCGTCGATGGAAACTAGGCCAATAGCAGCGAGCGCTCAACTGTTGAGTCCGCTGAACGCAGCCAATGACATCTTTCGTTCCCAGAATGAACAACATTTTCCATGAATCTCACGTTTTTGCGAAGAGTTTTGGAGGAACGCAGTTGTGGCGCTCCAAGCGGAGTCTAGAAACGCAATCGGAGGTTTCCTTTGAAGGTTAACTCCGAGGTTGTCAAACGGTTTGATTGGCTTGACAATCAGTTCGTTAACAGCCTTGGTTGTTGGTTGGTCGATCGGTCGATCAGTCGTCCGTCATGCCTATCGCTGTGCGAATACATTAACTCGTTGTTACACCCTCACGCGTACACACCCGTCGCAGAGACCAACCCGGGTGGGATTCACCTCGACGTTTCTCACGTCGCACGAGAGTGTCGTCCTCCAGGGTATGTCGTCGCGGGACCGTGCAATACGGTAAAATGTTGCCGCCGCTGGCTGATCAAGATCATTCGTTGACAACCAGGTGAAGATGGAAGATGACGCTGACCTCAGGGAACAATTGTTTCTCAACACCGTGCGCGAGAATATAGTGAGTAACATCGCAAATAAATAATAATCGCCTCCCTCGAACGTTGAAAATGCTCATCCTCGCAGAGCCGCACGGTCGAGTTTCCCGCGTTCATCGTGCGTGGAAAAAAAAAAACCTCCGTGGGCACACAATACCGAGCCCCGAGCGTGGTGCTTTTATGTAGGAATCCCACGGAGGTTCACGCCTTTCTCCGGTCATTCCTCGTCGCGGATGTCATCACAATTGACCCCTCTGGAATTTCCACGAAGAATTGAACGCCTAATATTTATTTCTACCAACGTAGATTAACGCCAATCTAGGTTCAATTTACTCATCTTTTCAGAAAAGTCTAAAAATTAAATTTAATTAGCATGTTTCCGTCAATGCAGATTAACTTTAATCTTGATTTTTCCCACGGTTGGGAGTAATAACTAGTTAAAATGTTAAAAGTTAAAAAAAATAAGTTAAAAAGTTAATAACTCTTAACTCAACTTAATTAATTTTAAATGCATTAATTTTTAAATTAACAATTTTTCTATCTCTCTTTAATGTTCATATTTTTTTTTCTAAATAATAAAGTCTTAAACATTAGAGAATTAATTTAGAAAAAGTTCAATGATTTTATGATGAGAGATCTATAATAAGAGTTACGCACCATGCGGTAGCCAATTTTTATTGATCGCTAGGTTTTGTCAATTCCCACTTATATTTGAATCACACTAATTTTAGGTATCATAAACGTTATGTTCCAGTAACATAAATATGAAATGAATCTTAGATGAAAAGCCTTGTAGAACAGTATTGCACATCCACCTATTTTTACATATATTTTTTGTGACAAATATCTAGATGACGTAGGCGTAAATATGCATGAGATTATTTCAGAAGTTAAAGAAAGTTAGATAATGATTAAAGGAAGAGAGAAATAAAGCAAACATATACCCTTCTCTCGCAAGATTTTAACAAAAACGCCTTATGGCGTGACTCTCATTATATACAAGTAACATACATGTAAATATAAAATTAAATTTACCTAATAATCTATATTTCTAAGTGTTATTTAAAGTAATCTCATTTTAAGAGAAATTAGGATTCTGATCTCGAAAATAATTTTTTTCAAAATTAACTTTGTTTTTAAACCTAAGTTAATTCAATTTTAACTTAACTTTTATTATTAAGTTAACTCTTTATTCCTTCAATTTTTCACTTAATTTTATTAATTTTACAAGCCATTAACTTTAACTTAATTTAGTTAAAAAAAAAAACATTAACTTAATCCAACCCTGTTGACTTTTTCCAGACCTAAAAATTAGAATTAATTGGAATTCCCGTTTCTACCAAGATTAATCTCGGTTCAACTTACTCTTTAACTTTTTGTGTAATTCTTGAAACTAGAAAAATAAGTTGTGAGCCAAAATTGATCATTGCTGAACAATGTCCAAGATTAAAATTAATTTATCAACGGAGATTAACTTTAATCTTGATTTAATTACTTTTATCTTCTTTAATTCTAGAGATAAAGAATTCAAGAGATAAAGGGAAAATTTATCAGAGATTAGAAAGTTAATCTGTATTAATAGAAATGGATCCAAAATCAAGACCAATTCAACTTACACTTTGCATCTTTAATTCCTAAACATAAGAAAAGATAAGATTAGAAGACTAGAAGTTGAATTAAAATTAAGTTGATCTACATTGGTAGAGATGTATCTAAGATACAGAATTCAACTTATTCCTGTTTCTACCATTGTAGTTTAATGTTAATCTCTCAAACTAATTTTTTACCTTTTTCTAGTTTTCTAAGAAAGATGAAGGATAGATTGAATCGAGATTAAAGTTAATCTCTCTCTCTCTCTCTTCTCTCTCTCTCTCTCTCTTCTTCTTCTCTCTCTACATTGACAGAAATAGACATAAATGTTACATCCGATTGTAGATTCTATGATCAACTCATTGGTCACAAAATCGCTATTTTCCACATCATTGACACACAAAACTAAGCCTTAAGATTAACTGGAATAGTCTACTATGGAATTCAGTTTCTAATTTGTAATCGCTCAAAAATGAACTTGTAATTAGCATGAGAACAATTAAACAGACAAGACCATCGTCTACTTGATGAATTGAGGTTGCAGCTTGCTTCGTTTTTAATTATTCAATCGTGAAAACGTGCCTTATCATTCATGATAACGTCAGCCACGACTGTAGCCGTCGGAAGCTCCGACAATTCCACCGCTATTTGCCAACGTGGATCGACAAACGGGGCCTACTTGTTTATTTATCTTAACGGGACAAATGCCCGTTCGTCCTCGATTAATCGTGGCCGGTGCGAGATTTAAAATTATTCCAAGTTTGCAAGAGCATGTGTTTACAAGCGAAAGCAGGCCCTCCCGCTCCCCCGAATTAATTTTATTTTAGCAACAGCTGTGAAATATTGCCAAGGAAAAAGATGATGTTCCTCTCCCTTCCTCCCGTAAAATGTTCTCTGTTTGTCTCTCTTTCTCCGCAGTTTTATAAATAAGATACTCAACGGGCATCCTTTGTTTAGCACGAGGCATCATTCGTTTATTAATCTTTCGTCATTTATTTCAGTCTCAGCTGCACTAATATCGAGTGTGAATCTTCAACAGATTCGTCACTTGTGAATAATATGGATTTACGTCCATATCTAGCAATCTACAGGGTGTCCTACGAGAAGTTACTGAAACTAATCCAACTGTCATTTTGAAACTGTTTAAGGAATAGAAAAAGTAAAATATTTTTTAATGGAAGATGTTTGACAGTTTTATTTATACATAAAATAAAAACCAATATTGTATCATTCAATAAAGATTTATAAGAATATTGCCAATTTTAATGCTATATATTTTTAAAATGTTTTTTTAATGATCAAATTTCTTTTTAAATTTACAGAATGTATATACATATGTATAAGATTAAGAGCAGCAACATTTCAAAAATATGTAATATTAAGATTGACAGTGTTTAGCATTTTTCTAAATATTAAATGTTAAAAATATTTCGTCGCTTTATCTTAAAATAAAATAAAACTGTCAAATGTTTCTTATTGAAAGATATGATTATATTTTTTTTGTTCCTTATATGTACATTTACAAATGACAATTTATTAGTTTTAGCAATGTTACATGGGACACCCTATAGATTAATCCTAATCTCGATTTAATTTAAACTCTTTGTATTTTTAAATCTCTTATCTGGAATAAAATAC